GATTATACTAATTAAATCTATAATATATTTACAAAACGTTGACAAGTTAAAAAATATAAATTTAAAACATTTATTTTTGTAAACAAATGTTAGTTTAAAACATTTATAGCTTTATGGATGTGACTCCGAGAATGAGCCATTGTATTAAAATAATTGTTCCTTTGATAGTATATTCTTAAAACAATTGATGCTAGAATTATCAACGAAAACATAACAAAAACAAAAACAAACAAAAAAAGAATTTAAAAAATAATTCAACAGAATACTCTAGAACAGTCGCGTAGTAATTTCAGTTATTTATTAATTGAACTAATAGAATTAGTTGTTCGTAAATTTGGCGGGTTTTTTGTGTTCGCGAATATTCTGTATTTATTTTTCCACACTAAGATGTTTGACAACATTCAAGTTTCCATGTACGTCCGTAAAAAAAAACCTTTTAAAATTTACGATAAAATGAACTTATTATTTTGCAACCAAACAAGGAAACATACATAAACTGAAATGATCTCAAAACGCCTGAAAAATCTGGCCGGCTTTTCGCAAGTAAATATAATTTCCGTGATCAATTATCGAGTGCGATCGCACCCGCTTCCCGACCAAGCCTGATTTATATGTTTTAAATTAAAAAAATATATACAACTGTCAATTATATTTAAAAAACAAAACCTTTTTTCAGTAAATTGTTACTTTATTTAAAATCGTTTTGCTAATATAAAAACATTTATTAAGAAGTTTTGATGTAATTAATTTCACTTTTTTAGAATATTTTTTATTTAGCACGTTTTTAAAATGTTTTTTTAATTAGTCGCGGTCAAACTGTCATAACAAAATGTAACTTGCGTGGTCATACAAAGACATGAAATTGCACGCCTTCCTGTGAAAGCCTGATATATATATATATATATATATATATATATATATATATATATATATATATATATATATATATATATATATATATATATATATATATATATATATATATATATATATATATATATATATTGTTGCCAAATTATTAGGGACAGTTTACTTTTTTAATAATTTTAAAGTTTTAATGATTATTGCGAGTAAATAAATTGTTTTAAAATAATTTTTCTAGTGTATTTTAGTTACTAACATAATTATAATTGTTTTCAAATTGTGGTAACACTGTCAGTCCAACCTATCTTTCAAAAAGTTAGGTTATTATTTAATTAGCTGTCAATTGTTGAAAAGTGTGGTTGGAGTAAGTTCAAAATTGATTTCAATTATTTATTTTTGGAACAATTTTTTGCAAGTTTTTCGAGTTCAGAACTATTGAAACCTAAGTATTGGTTAATAGTTCAATTAGTTAAGGCTAATAATTTATTATTTCTGCTAAATTTAATGCATAAATCCTGACATGTAACCATTCTTACCTCATATTGATTTTTTTAGTATGGGCAAATCTTCCGACTTAACCCTAAGAAAAAGTATGGAAGTAAAAACCTTACTTCTTCATTCTACACATTCTCAGAGAGAAATAGCAGCAATTGCAAGTGTTTTAAAGTCAGTAGTGAGCCGAATTAAAAGAAAAATTGATACAAATGTGCCTTTAGAACCAGGCCGTGTCAGCAAAAGTGGCCGAAAAAGGATCACTACTCCACGTTGTGACCGTAAAATTAGGGACATCTGTATTAAAAACAGGAAAAAAAGTGTGGCTCAACTAGCTAAAATGATAAACAATGAAAGAATTAACATATCCAAAAGGACGGTTCAAAGAAGGTTGGCTGAAGAGAATTTAATGGGTCGTCGCCCAACAAAAAAATCACGATTAACTGAAGCCATGAAAAAAAAGCGACTGGATTGGGCTAGAAAATACCAGCATATGACTATTGAAGACTGGAATAGAGTAAATATAATTTATAATATTGTAAGAAACCAGAAAAATTATAGGATTATAATTTAAAATATCTTTGTAATGTTTTACAGGTTTGCTTCTCGGACGAGTCAACATTTCAAATTTTGATGGACAAAAGCTCATTTGTTCGAAGACGCCCAGGAGAAAAATTTCACCAGGACTGCCTTTTAGAAAAGGTTAAACATCCTGTGAGAGTAATGGTGTGGTCTGTGATCTCAGCCAAGGGTATGGGCTGCCTCTACATTGTGGATGGGACCATGAGGCAGGATCAGTACAAGCGAGTACTGGAAAACAGTCTCCTGCCCCAGGTCCAAGAATGGTTTGCTGATAATGAAGAGTACATGTTCATGCATGACTCAGCACCGTGTCATAAAGCTAGAAGTGTTACAGCATTCCTAACTGAAAAAAATGTGTGTGTTTTGCCATGGCCAGGGAATTTACCTGATATGAACCCCATAGAAAATCTGTGGGAGTTCACAAAACGGGAAATTGCCAAAGAAATCATCACTACTAAGCAGCAATTGATAGAAACCCTTATAAGAGAGTGGCATAACAACCCCAGTCTCCAACACAATGCAAAAGTTTGCATAGAAAGCATGCCCCGACGCCTGAAAGCCATCATTGTAGCAAAGGGTGGCATTACAAAATATTAGGACTATTACCTTATTTGTTATGTTAAAACTTTTTATAAAAAAATAGATAGCTATGAATAAAAAATTATGTTGTTTTATATTCTAAATAAAACCCTCTAACAATAAAAACAATGTTTAAAAATAACTACAAAATATTTATTCATTAAAGTAGTTTAAACTTTAAAATTACTTAAAAAGTAAAGTGTTCCTAATAATTTGGCAACCCACTGTATATATATATATATATATATATATATATATATATATATATATATATATATATATATATATATATATATATATATATATATATATATATATATATATATATATATATATATATATATATAGAGAGAGAGAGAGAGAGAGAATATTTTTAAAAATTAAAACAAACAAAAACATCCTTAGTTGCCTATGTATTCAAATCTTTAAAATAAATTAGCGAAACGAAAAAAGTTTAATGTTCCTTTTGCCATAACATTATGTAAAAAAGTTAATCTCAAATGACAAGATAAAAAATGTCTGTGTCATGATAAAGTAAAACGCCTAGATGTAAAAAATGCAGATAAAAAAGATAAATTACAAATCATCAGATAAAGGTGGTTTGGGTCTGGGAGACTCAAAATCCGAAAGCTCCAACAATGCAGTAACACTAACACAATACTTCTGCATAAATGAATTTTTAAATTCAAATTTTCATATATCATTTACAGTAGTAAGATAGCATTCAAAAGTTTCAATTTAGTTGTCAAGCTTTGCTTTGCATTCATCCTCAGCCGAATTTTGCTGAAAAAAATGAAAATTTCAAAAGATGTTAATCCTCTACCACAACAAGGATCAGCCACAATGAAGGATCAGCCACAATGGATATCCTTTAGAGTCCTAGTGAAAAAACTGTCAAAACTGCTCATAAAGATTTTAACATTGGTCAAATTAAAAACGAAACAATAATCATCAAGGTATAAAAGAAACAATAATCAGAGTACAAGAAAGTACAAGAAAGATTGTTGTGGAGCATCTTTAAAGAATTGCTAGCATAATTAGAGATTAGGCAGCAGAAATTCATAGCTTATGATTATAAAGAACATTTTCACCACCTTAATCCTTGAATATTATTAGTTTAAAAACAAAGATTTTTTATATTACATTTAAAAATAGTATTGTAGAGTTTTTATTCTTAAAGAGTATATTAAGCTTAAATTAATAAATTTTTGGTGAAACAAATCAAATAACGTGTCTAAAAATGTATTTAAATGCTATTTAAAAGCAATACAATATATAAAATAGGGTTTAAATAGTTATTTTTTAACTTTGAAAAATAACTATTTAAACTCAATTTTATATATTAACTTTGAAAGTAAATGTATTTAAGAGTCAATAAAAATATTGTTAACAGAAACATATTTTTTTGTTTGTTTTACCAAAACTTTTGATCAGTTTTGCACATTTTTTTTAGCTTTTTGGCAGTAGTTTAGTACCTTAGGAAATGTTGATATATTAGAATTTTGCGTGAGCCCATTAAACCGCACTTTAAATACCATTAAACAATCAATACTTTGGTCTATAAAATGAAAACGGTACATGTGCCAATAAAACAATTATAATAAAAATTGTTGATATTACATAGTAGAACATTCATGTGATCATTACTTTAAAAAAAGTGACAAAATATTACAGCAGTCTGTAACACTTTGAGGTATAATAAGCAAAAAACAAACTTAAACAAAAACTGTCATAAATTCATAACCAGTTAACCAATCAGATTGAAGTTTATCCAGAGTTTAATAAGGCAACATGCTACATTTGGACTAATTTTTATCAATTATTTTTTATATTAAAAAAAAAATCATGATAATTATGCAGAGAGTGATTTTAATATAGTTTAGTTTGTGTCTGCTCATTTTTGGTTTCTTTCATTCAATGAATATGGCATTCAAAAAGCTCAAGCTTTTAAAAAGCTTTTTTACTTAAATTATTATAACGATCATTGTTGATATTTTTAACACTTATATTAATAGTAATTTTGAATTTCCAAACAAACAGTGGAGCAAAGTTTGTTTAAACACCACAGGCATTGAAACACCTCAACCAACTTGTCTTATAATCACTATTTAAACAAACCAATGGTTCCTCAACTAAAAATTATCATCTTAAAATCAATGGATGATATCATTTTTATTAGTTTTATCAATTACTACTTATCTCCTCTAGAAAATAAATTGCAAGGTAAATTAATTTTTTCATTTACAGTATCAATTAGCTGATGTTCTATTAGCAATAATTGTTTAAGATTTTTTCTTATTGCATACAATCTATTTTTAGGGTCAGGAAAATAAATTACATAAATTATAAGCTTTGAATATTAGTTAATTTATTGTTAACATCAGTAAACAAAAATAAAAATTTATTTAACAAAATATTTTTGAAAATGAAAAAAATAAAAACTTTAATAGTTTTAAAATTTTAGTAACTTTATCGGTTCTTACCAAAATCTTCACTTTTTCCAGATTGACATTTTTCATGGTCATTGTGATATATCGATTTTCTGTGTTCAACTATATTATGGTGATTAATATCTAAAAGAAATTTCATATATATATATATATATATATATATATATATATATATATATTATATATATATATATATATATATATATATATATATATATATTTACATATATATATATATATATATACATAGATAATACAGATAATACATATATATATATATATATATATATATATATATACATAGATAATACAGCAACTGCATTTTGTCAAAATAATAAATAAATAGGCAAAACACTTGCTGAGCTGTGCAGCAAATTTTTATATAAAATTTTAATTTTTTAAAAAGAGTTTTATGGTGAAATATTTTGTCATGTTTTTTTCATTTCATTACAAATGACATTTAGAAGAGTATTTCAAAGCTTTGGACCATAATGAGATAACACTTGATTGCCATAATGATTACAGCATTTTGTTTCCTTCAAATGCCTTACCAAATTTAAAATTTTCTTAAATTTAGTATTATATCTTATGATGTAGAGATGCATAAATTTTGATTTCACATTAGTTAAAATTTGCTTAAAAAAGTGTTACAAGCGCATCAAAGTCACAACTTTTTTTAGCTTTCATATAAAAAATTTTCTGCTTAAAATACTCATAACTTTCTTAAATGACATAAAAAAATTAAAAAAAAATTGTCTCATTTTTTTAGTTGCTTCTAATGAAAGCTTTGAATTTAATACTACACAAGTTTAATTTATTTTAATCAAATACCTATACGGTGCATAAATCTTTATGCAATAAGAGTTTCTCTATTATGGATATTTTGCTTATTATATTGTAACAATTTTTAACTATCATTTCAATTTGTATGTTGTAAGAAAACTCTTGCTTACTATAAAAAAGATGTCCCTGATCTCTAAATGGTCTTCCTTGTCTATGAAGAGAAGACACATTATAGTAATCAATAATTATCTTATTAACAATTTTTAATTGATTACTATAGGTAATGTGTCAATAATTAAATTAAAAAGAGATCTAATGTGTCAATATTCAAATTAAAAATAGATCTAATCTTCTTGTTTCTAATTCTAAACCAAAACACTATTAACAAATTTTATAAGATTAAACAATAAAACAATTATTTAATTATAAAAAGAATATGTAAATATTAAATTGAGTAATTTTACACTTATGTCCAAAACTGTTTTTTTTTTCTTTAAAGAAAAAAGTGGGTCTGACATACTAAATAAAGCTATGCATGACAATTTAAAATATTACTTTATACAACAATTGCTCTTGGGTTAATTTGAATACAGATTATTAGTTCTTTAAAACCAAAATTAAACATGAAACAATGTAGAACTTTTAATGACAAGTATTTATGTTGATAACTGTGCATTAAAACTTACATGGTAAATTAGAAAAAGCAATAGTTTTTAAAATCAAAAACATTGTTATTTATGTCAAAGTAGTTTATACAAGCATCAATTAAGATTTGAAAATTGATTTTGATTTTTACTTACCCTCAACTTTAATAAAAGATTGATTACAATTTAAACATGAAACACCGATAAATTTTTCTTGAATTTTCTTTGAGTCTAAGTTTCCTTCGTGTTCATTAATAATATGCTGTTCAAGTTCAGAAAAAATTACAAAGTGTTCACGACAAACGTTACATCGATAAGTTACTGCTTCAAAATCGCCTTCGTCCTCAACGTTAATGGCGTTTCGTGGTGGCATCGGTGATGGTTCATGATTACTTAAGGTAGTATCTGGTCGTAAACAAGATAAGCTCTCTCCAACACTCATATTTTTTCAGAATATTGTTAAACTCAAATCACTTTTGTATGAATATAAAACATTATAAGATTTATAACACAAAGATGTAAAAAAAAAAAATACTATTGAACGACAAAGAACGATCGTGCAGTTCGAAATCTTCGCAAACGATCGATTTGTTATGTCTTTTGCCACACTCAACGAGTCAAAGCAATTCATTATTTTCGTCCGGAAGATGTTAAAATGTTCTCAAAATGAACGATTTCACAAACTTTAAAAAACGACGCATTAGAAAGACTGAAGTAATGATTATATTTCACGTGTTTTAGCTTATTATGTTTTGGAATTAAATTATTTAAATAACTTTATAAAATTGAAAAAACAATTAAATTTTAATTTTAATAACAAACACTTTTCACTTAAATTATTAGAAACGTCATAAGCAAAAGCAGTGACGTTTCGATTTAAAATTTTTGCTAAGGTTTTTTGCGGTTGTTGCAAACTCAGCCGTGATTTGCTGTTCTTTTTTAACAAAAATTTAAAACTCCAAATACTTTTATATCAAATACTTTTATACAAAAAATATATGAATTATTTTTAAACAATTTTATAAAATGCTTGGTAAAATTTTATTTTTTGAACTAATTTTTAACAAAACTTTTCTAGCGTGACTTTTCTTGTACAATATTTCGTAAGTAAAATTCATGAATGAGCAACATCTCTAATTTCGAGATTAATTCAATTAAGCAAAAAATACACACAAAAAAAAGTACACAAAAAACTTTTCAAAAAGTTTTCTGTTTTTAAAGTATTTGATAACTTTAAATCGATTTAATTGATCTAACTTAAAGACCTTCAACATTCATTCTTTACCTAATAGATCTTCCTTCGTAGGAGAGCTTTTTGAAAAGTCTTTATGTACAGATATTTGTTGTTGTTGTTGTAAAACCCCTCCCCTCCCCCAGGTAAGTTGATTTTCAAGTTATAGATTTTTTGGCGGGAATTGTAACAAAAATGATGATAAGTTGGAAAGTTTTGCATTCTTTATTGTAATGCTGAAGTCTTTACGTAAAACAAAGCTAACAGTTGTATAGACAAATAATATTGTTGTTGTAGCCCAAATTTTTAAATTGTATATAGAAAATGATAATAATCATGCTGAAATTTAAGAAAGTTTCTGGAGTTACTTTGACAAAAGAGGTTATCTCTAAGATTAGTAACTCACAGGCAGCTTATATCCAAGTTTATCTTTGAGATTATCTACTCACAGGCAGCATATATCTCAGTTTATCTCTGAGATTAGTAACTTACAAGCAGCCTATATCTCATTCTATCTCTGAGACTAATAACTCAGAGACAGCAAAAAATGCGGCTAAAAGTTGAAGATGCAACATTCATCTACCTGTTGTGCTAAAGTTTACTTGAAAACTAAACACTTGCTTAAATTTGATGAGCTCACCAAACAAACAGCAATCCAAAAGAAAAAAGATAACGAGCTGGAATAGATTCAGGCTGGTTCGTTTGAGATTGACAAGGCTTTTGACAAGGTATTACCCTACAACCTGGTTAAACATGGCAGAATATCACTTGGGTAAATTCAACAAATCACAAATTGCAGCAGAAAACCGATGTTTAGATAGTGAAATTAATTGAATGGACAGGTAAAAATTTATGCTAGCTTTAAATATATCTAAAAAATGTTTAAGTTAATTTAATAGAAGTTTCTCGAAAACTTTTTAGTTTTTTTTATAGGATTACCATTTGAATTTTTCATTTGATCTAACATTTCCAAACTTTGTGAAGTACTTTAAACAAAGGATGACAGTTAAGGATCCAACCATATTTAAGAGGTTTAGGTTCTGAGTCTTCTACAATACAGCTTTGGGGGTTTGAGAAAGAGCTCTCACGTTGTGTTAAAGTTTGTAAAGAATAAAAATAACAGTTTCAACATTACTGAAGTGATCATTTATTCTTCTTTAAGCTATATCTTAAACTTTAACAAATGTCTCGCAAAATGGGGGCGAGGATCTCAAAGTTATGAAACTGGTATGAGGAAGGAATTCTGCTAAGAGTTTTAGGCACAAATGAGTAATCTAAAAAGATTTGTTGACTTTGGTACAAGTATCATCCCTTTTTTCACGGGGATTTTATACCATCCACTCTACCAAGGCCAGTCTCTCGAGTAATCAAAAGTTTATAATAATATAATTCAAAAACTGATTGAGGAACAACCGAGCACAGTAGTTTTTATGGAAACAAGACAATAAAACTTGAGTCTCAGCGAGAAAAAGAAAATCTCAGCAGGGTTTTTGGGCACGACGAGAACAGAACTCTAAGCTTGGAAGCAGTGGAGAACCTTTCGGCAGGACGAGAACAGAACGTCAATGAATTTTTTTTTTTTTTCAAATATATATATTTGTCAGTTTGAAACAAAATTTGATTTGCATTGATTTGCAAAATTATAAATAAAATACAAAATATTTGTAAATTTTAAAACCCTGTTTTTTTATTTATTTTCAACATTTGAAAGGGACCAATCACCATTAGTAGCTGAGCTTCAGACAATACTTTTGTATTCCAGCTACGTTAAGCAGCATTGAAAGGTTGTTTTCTCAATGTGGCAACATAGTCTGTGCGAAAAGAATTAAGAAACATCCCACAAACTCTAAGAGGCTGATCTTTATAAACGTTAGCTATTCTCTGGTGATGCATAAAATAAACCAAAAGTTGTTAACTGTTAAAAAAAGAAAAAAGATGGGCAAAGAAATAATGGCAGAAGATAGTCATCCCGATCAAGAAGACAACTAATAACTCTTCAGTCAAAAAGGAGGAAGTTTTTACAACAGTATCATGGGTAAGTTCAAAAGAAGTTTCGGTCAAAAATGTTTATTGGGTTAAATGATTTGTTTAAACCTTTTTTTTATATTCAGTACATTGTAATTATTTTATTGTTTTTATTTTATATACTGCATTGTTATTGTTATTATTTTTTGGGCCTTAAGCTTGTAAACAAATTTGATTGATTGATATGATAATATCTAATGTTTGAAAGATTAAACAGTTCATAAATGAAATCACATTTCAATTTTGTCTATTGTTAGCCTATATTATAATATAGGCTGTTTTATATACTATTTATACTATAGTATAACTTTGAGAACCTTTATTTCGTCAAGCATTTTAACACGAAGGTCTGCGCTAAAGCTAGCAGTTGCTTAGAAAGATTTTTCCTATCTGATATAACTCTATTAGAGCGTAACGCTTGGCTATATACAATGGTTATCTCTAGAATATAAGTGGTGTTGCGATGAAATCTGATCAAGTGTAACCTTAAAAATTATAAAGTGTGAACTTTTTTGCTAATTAAGTTTCTTAAATAACAACTGTTGTTTATTTTGATAAAACAGACCTTGGTAGAACTAAAAATAGCAGATTTCAAATAGATATGTTTGTTACAAATAATCGTTAATTATTACTATAAAATTCAAGAATTTTCAAAAAAATATGTTTATCAAAAAAAAAATGTTTAAGTCTAAAGGCAAAATCTTCTCGAAATTTATCGACTTATTGTAAGTACTTCTCAAATTGAGTCGTAGTTAACCAAAAAATTGGAGAATTGTTCTTAAATATCTAAATAAAATTTAAATATCTAAATCTCAATTTTTTTTTAGATGCTTCAAGAAGACCTAACGGTCTTGTAACAGAGCATTGCACAAGACATTCTAATTTTAGGTTCTTGATTATATACTCTATTATAAAAAAACTGGGAGTATTGAAACTTGGCAATAATGAGTGGTGAGTTCACCCTCATTTGAAGGTTGGGAGTAACATTATGTTTTTAAAGAAACTTAAAATTAGTCAGGAAATACTGATTGTTTAATTAAGCAAGTGAAAACCGCAAATAGAATATATTTACTTAAGTCATGGAAACTTATTACTATATTAAGGCTCATATCACTCAAGCCATTTGTTTTAATACCCTTAAACATTTTGTAAGCGTCAAAAAATGTTTTAATTAATTTAGATAAGAGGCTGTAGGGAAAATAAAATCATCATTTATTGAATTCTACTGGTTCAATGAACTTATTTATTTTGCCTCATATATCTTTAGGATTATACAAGTGATCCTTATTTTTTTAATATTCGCTTAGAATCGTTTAACATTTATCAAACAAGTTTCTGTTTTACGTTTTTTAAAGAATTTTCATTGGGTTTCAAATTGTTTAGCATTGGTTCTATAAAGTTGTTTTACTTCAAGTTGTTTTTAAGTATTTAATAAGTAAATATTTTTAGATGATAATTTCTGAGACAAGAAATAAAATAATTTCTAGGACTTTTAGTGATTTATGGTGGTTTTAAACTTTTGTTTTACATTTAGTTTATAAGTTTTACATTTTGGAATGTTTACAGTATTTACTTTTTTTTCATTATTAAAAAACTTTGAAGAATACACATTCTACATTATAAGAATACACAATCTATTTCTATCAAAAGTACTTGGTTCCAGCAAAAAGAGTATAATTGTTCTTTAACTTTTGAAAGATTTCAATTGTTAATCAAGCTTGTAATCATGACCTGTTTTTACTGTTCTTACTAATTTGGTATCGTTATTAATCGAAAAAAAAAGGAAAATGATTTAATGGGTCAATTTTAATCATTCCTTTTTTCAAACCATTGTGTTAAATGTATCGGTGATTACAATATTGTCTATTAATGAGGCTAATCTTGCAATTACTTATCGATCGCGCCCGACGACTCCCCTGCCCCCTACGGTACAGGCATGATATTCAAGGTTAACATGTATTTAAATATATACAGTATATTATGTATTCTATTTAACTTTATTCGTTTACAACGTATAAAGTTAAATAGAATACATAATATTTATATATTAAGTATATATAATAAAACTTTTCAGAAAAAATAACCAGATTCTTTGGCACAAGTAATAAAACAAAAAGTATTATTGTTATTAAAAACAGGAAACTTGCAGACAAAATGCAGACATGTTTTACCTTAGCAAAATGAATTTGCATATAAACAAGTAAACATTTCTAGTTTAAAAGCGTTTTTTATTAATTAGGGTCTCTTCTATGTTTATTTATTGAATCAAAATAAATTCTAAAGATACTTTTGCAAAGAACTTGATTTTTTCATCATCAAGTCTCATGACTTGATGATGAAAAAATCAAGTTCTGGAATGATATTTATATTTATGGTTATCAAGTACAGTATTCATT